AACCTCTCCTAGGTAATTATTAGCCGGAGGACCCGAGAGTGTGACCGGTGTCAGGCACGCTAGCCATAACTTGTATTCCCGTACGGTGTGTTTTAATAAACAAGTGTGCCTCCAAGACAAGTCTCCAGAGTCTGCAACACTACATATGCAACACTCAGATTATGATAGCTCTCTTGGTAAAATAACTACGTGTGTATAATGCTTTCATGCTCTCACCACCGTGCATCTTGTGCGTGCGTGTATAGGTGTGCGCAACCCTTGGCACAACAGGCGTGTGCACGTTTGACAACATGGCTGAACTGGGCCCAATCTGTGAGATCTGGTCTTTGAATTTCTCTTATTCCTAACACCCTATGTTCATAACCGTTATAATCGCACCTCCGATTATCACGTTTGGCTACGTACGTTGCGAATGAAGTTCAACATACATACACACATAAATTGAGCCTCGTCTCAATTGGTGCTTGACCAGAGGATGCCAAAAGGCATACAGCTCAAAGACAATGCACTATCAATGTAATGAGGGTTCGGGGTTGTCAAAAGAAAGCCGTCTCTGGTGTGGACCAATCAGTTTCAAGGACAATGCATATATTATCGGAGTGTGTTTTTTGTTTGCATTTTGACCGCAAGTATTGTGGTTAATGCACACATGATTCCTTGTAAAAAAAGGTTTCAGTTTTGTTGCCAGAAAAAGGGGAAAACCCTTATTATATTCTGGTACTGGCAAAGGAGGTCTAATGATGTAGACACTTAAGGTTTGTTTATTTGGATTTTCTTTTTCACTGCTCAATGTCAGATATTTATATGACCTGGAAATCATATATACCTGTTTAATATGCTTCGATTTCCTGTCTTCTCGGAAGTGAAGTGCCAAAGAGTGTCGTGACAGCATTTCCACCCCACTGGCAACCGACTGATCGGTTTCTCGAATGCTACAAGGGCATTCGATTAAAGAGATCCCACCCACTGACACCTCTTGAACTAACTGTCACAGTTCAACTACGTAATTGCATGCCTCTTATTGGCCAGCCTCCCACACTTGACTGCACGCTAAGAGCCCGACTCACTGTGCCAGGGTGGCGGACAAGCGGAGTCTGCAGAGCACGTTCTGCGTGGAGCCGCACTACTTACAGCACGAGCACTCCGGTTCGGTCACAGACTTCATGGTGGGTGAATCTGCGGCACTAAACATATTTTGTTTGTAAAATGGCATGCATTCATGGAAGAGAACAGTTTATGCTCCATTACATTATGTCTAGGCGTACCAAGCCAACAGCTCTGATATTCTTGGTGCAAAGAATATGATCGTTTTTATACAATCTTAAATAATTTCACAAACACACCCGAACATTTTATGTGGGTGTCATGCAGGCGTAAACGGCCTCGCGGATATGACGTCACGGGGGGAGGAGTTGGGTCACGTGAGAGAGAGGGATGAGGTCTTAAGGGAGAGATACCGGAAGAGACGGGAGAGAGTTGGAGATAGAGACAGAGTGAGGCCACGCACGGCGGAGGTTGGAGAGTGGCGAGATCGCCACACACACAGTAAGACTCGGCACCGTCGGCGAGCACGGAGGAACGGGGAGCAGCGGTGGGGCTGCAGTGAGGGCAGCCGGAGGCCTGCACGAGGGAACCAGCAGCGGAGCTGCATCGGAGTGGAGAGAGGCTACGGGAGCGACGGCAGCATCGAGCTGCCAAGCGGGGAGGCTCTGAGCGAGGGCCGTGTGGGACAAGTTGTAAAGAACCCGAATAAAGGACAACGGAGACAGACACAGTGAACGAGTCCTTTATTACATGGGTATATTTGCTCTGAGAACACAGCAGATATCATCCTAAAGCACCATTTTGTCAAGATGTCAATAAAATTAGTTAATCTTGCTCTCTCTCTCTTTAAAATAACATAGTTTAGCTAAGCAAATTGACCTTAATATGAAAGTCTATTCTGATGTATTTAACAGCGTTTCCGTTGTATTGAACATGTTTCTCTGCATTCTATAAGAAAAACACAGATACAGTGGAACCTCGGTATACATCGTTAATTCGTTCCAGAAGGTAGGACTTATACCGAAAATGACGGATACCAAACGAATTTTCCCATAAGAAAGAAAGGGAAAGGAAATAATCCGTTCCAGAGAAAAATAAATGATATTTTTATCGCATATTATACATTAATGGGGTTGTATAAAATAATTTAGACACTAATTACTAAAATGCATACAGAAGCCACATGACCGTGCTGCTGCCAGCTGCGCTGGTCACGTGGCGTGCCTCAACCCCGCACGTCGCGCGCGCCTCGACCCGGGGCTCCACCCTCCATGGGGGCAGCCCCCCACGCTCCCCGCCCCTTTCCCCCACGCCACCCCGCCCCTCTCGCTTTGTTTCAGTCGTGAACGGGGCATGCGCGGATACTGAACGCGGTGACTCATCCCGACCCATACAAGTTCTAGCAAGTGCGTCGTATCCCAAGCAAGACGTCGTATCTCAAGACATTTTTTCTTGAAAAAACACAACGTATACCAAATTCGACGTATTCCAAAGCGGTTGTATACCGAGGTTCGACTGTATTACGTAATCCAAGCACGTGGTGCTGCTGGCGGTGGTTGCCGCGTGTGTAGAGCTAGGCCTCGGCAAGGTAAGGTAAACGTTAAAAGGTAAAAACAACGTGCCTACCTTTACCCTACCTTTTACCTTACCACAATACAATCACTCTACCCTACCTTTTACCCTTTAGCAGGTAAGGTAAAAGGTAAAAAGCAACGAGCCTACCTTTTACCCTACCTTTTACCCTTACCCCATACAAATTACCCGATTACAGGGTAATTACTAGGGGACTACACATGAACAAGGTTTATAACGGTAAATGCCAGGTAGAGCGCTTTATTCATATAAAATTCTCTCGATGATTCCAATTTTACACACTTGTTGTCATCGTCGTTGCTGTATCCTCAAATCTTGTAACTCAATTTTTACCCACTTCCTAATGTGATATCGACTGCAGACTTGGTATGCTTATGTCATACAAATGGAGGCCAGGAAAAGCAGTCCAGGAGGCAACAGCAGCCCTCAGACATGCTGACATTGTGGGTCATGTTCAGCAAGGGAGAGGAGGCCTTGGGCTAACTAGCCGTGCTGCTTGGAGTAAGGCCACTGCACCAGAGCGGCGGAAGATGGTAGTGCAGGAAGTACGCCATCAGGAGGGGGCTGCAAGGTGGGCCAATGTAGTCTCTCTTGCCAAACAGGGACAGTGGACTCGATGGGACAGTGTGGAGAAGAGGAAGATCAGCTGGAAGGATCTGTGGGCCATGGAAGCGAGACGGTTGAACTTTTCCATCAGAGCAACATATGACGTCCTTCCAACACCAGTTAATCTTCAATGTTATGGTGAAGATCCGGACTGTGCCCTCTGTTCCATGCCAGCCAACCTCAGGCACATTCTCACAGGGTGTAAAACAAGCCTCACCCAAGGACGCTACACTTGGCGTCACAACCAAGTCCTTAAAAACCTTGCATCCGCCCTGGAGGACAAGCGAGCTGCCACCAACTCCCAACCACCCCCAGCAGCATCACACCACTTACGGACGACCTTTGTCCGCGAAGGAGCTAAACCACCGAAGAGCGGCTCTACACCATTAGAGCGAGACCAGCTGCGCTTGGCCCGCGATTGGAAAATACTAGCTGACATTGGCCGGCAACTTGTGTTTCCTCCGGAGATCGCAACCACCACCCTAAGACCTGACATGGTGCTCTGGTCCCGTTCGCTCAAGAAGGTCTTCATCATTGAGCTCACAGTACCCTGGGAGGACTCAGTAGATGAGGCTTATGAGCGAAAACATCTGCGCTATGCCGATCTAGCTGCCGAAGCACGGCATCATGGCTGGAACACAGAAGTCCGACCAGTGGAGGTGGGCTGCAGAGGTTTTGTGGCAACATCTACAACCAGACTGCTTAGAGACCTGGGAATTAAGGGCCAGAGCCAGCGTTCGGCAATCAGAGCTGTATCGGAGGCGGTAGAAGGCAGCAGTCAGTGGCTCTGGATGAAGAGGAAAGACCCCAGCTGGGCCCCGAAGTGAGAGGGCCAGGAGGTATGCGGTCAACATTGCTTGACTCAGGGAGGGGGACGCCCCTGCCATGCATAGTCCCATGGGATGTTGGCTATCAACAACAAGGCAACTCCTATGACTAATTGGGAATGGGACGCAAGCGTAGGATTGATCACCCTGTCGCTGGCCGCCTTTGGGGAGGGTGTATAGTGTGAAAAGCCGAAACACCCTAGCAACCAAAGGTACACTACTGGCGATGCGCTCCCCAAATTTCACCAGGCTCACTGTTCATGAACTCTTGGAAGTGCTTGCACAAAGGATAGTAACATCTCATCCTGTGTTCTTGGAATCTCATATGACAACACTATATTCTATCATAAAATATATATTTTTTTATATGTTATGTTTCGGCTTGGATCTAATTGTCCACGCTCAACTGACGTTGGCTGTAATTGGCCACGGTCCCTTACGTTATGGCAAGCTTCGGGGCCACTTCCTGGAGTCGTGGAGTTCTGCCATTACTAGTACATTTCATAAAAGCGTGTTTTAAAAAAGTTTTTTTTTATATTATTAAATGGAGGCCACGGACTGCGCCACGGAGCTTTTAGCGGTAAACTAGGTACTGTATTTACCGGGTAATTCTTCCGAGCTACCTTTACCTTACCCTTTACCTTACCACTTGGCATGTCGACACCTTTACCCTTTTACCCGGTAAAAATGGTAAATTACCTTTCCTTGCTGAGGCCTATGTAGAGCTGCGCCGCGAGGTACGCGGGTACACACGTGCATATTCATACAGTGGTAGTGGTAGGTGTGGTGGCGGTTATTGTGGTGGTGGTGGGCATTGTGGTTGGTTGTACGGCTAGTGGGGCTCGTGCTGCTATTTTTATAGAGTCGGAGCATGCGAGGTGAGCGACGTGCTGGCAGCTGCCGCGCTACTTTTAGCGCGTGCATGTGGTGGCCAATAGGCGCGGGTGGCTGCGCGTTGAGATCGCGTAAATACATTCAGTAAATATTTATGCGATCTAATTCAAAAAACTTATATTATAGCTCACCACTGATAAACAACCAGCCCAACAGCTCACCAAGCGTATCACGACCTGCCAGCAGCACAATGGACAATGATGAATACCGAAATCGAGGTGAGTTGAATTTATTACACAACGGTGCCAATTATAATAATAATCATAACAACTAGTGTAATCGGCCGTCAGATGACAGGTATTTTCAGATCGTAAACGATCCAGTGTTTCTTGACTTTGTCAATTACGCCATCTCTGCTGTCTTTCTCTGTTTAATCGACGTCTTCTTTTGTGTGTAGACCCTTCTTTTTTCATCTGAATGAAATATAAATTACGGAATGTGATGTACTGAATTTAATTTACTCAGAGTAATGTATTACAAACCTGTAAATAAAGAATTATAATTGCAAATCACCTTCATCGTAAGGTTATAAGAACAATATGTTTAAATAAAAAAATTGGTTTTCCAAACTTAACATTTTCCTCACCTGTGAGAGTGAATAAAAGAATATAAACACTTAGTTCTCGACTTCTGTTTGATGCAAATGTGCAATTGTTGTAGGAATTGTTATAAGTATCGACTGACTGCATTCTGTTTTGATAATTCAAAAAATAAACTATTTCATTTTCGCTAAAAATGTGAGCAGAAGGTCGCTTTAAAAAAATGAACTTCCACTTATTGATTGGAAGGGAAGAGGTCGGTGTTCACTAATTTTCACAAATTTCCACTATAAATGCGAGCAAAAGTCATGAAAGTTAAACTCCACTGAGTTCAAATTAAAAGTGATTCTGCTTCTTTATTTTAATTTCTAGTCGATGTCCAAAAAACTATTGTCACACAAATTAACTGAATAGATTATTTATCATTATTCTCTAAAGGTGTGTAAAACGAAAAGATAAAATACAAAAACAAGGGTGCGCTTGGGTTTTATCAAAAGCGGAGCTGGTATATTTTTGAAAAAAAGTATTATTCTTGTAACAATCCAACAATTATTAGTTACAATTGTAATAAGCCTTTAATGAAAATGTGTTTTTATTGCATGAAAATCCACGTAGCCTACCCAGCGTCACATACAGCGTACAGGGTGTCAGGCGTTAGGCACAGATCACCAAAACTATATAATGATAAAAGGAGTTTCAATTGGTAAAGAAACTGAATAATTTCGTAACCTATGTCAGTGAGATTTCAGTCAAATTATAATTCCCATAGTGAATGACGCATGGGCATAATACTTACATACATTATGATCAATACTTTATCAGTAATATACCAAGTGCTTCACACGATCAAATAAGGCCGTACCCTTGCACAACTGCATATTAGAAGAGCAACGAGATGTTCATTGTGGAATGCTTTGATGTCTGCCAGCCGAGTTGCCCTTGAAAAAGGGCATCTTAGCTCAATGGGCTTTACTTGTGAAAAACCCCCTTCTTATTCTGAATTAAAAAAAAAATGTCCTCTAAAGGTGTAAAGGAAAGTGGAATATAATTGAGTTATATAATTATAATGACTATGATTACAAATGGATGGAATGGCTGCAATGAGTTTGTGATGATGCCATGAGAAAATGCAATTTGGCCAGCTGATCTAGCTTTCTCTGAAAACTTATAGTAACCTATGATAGTATATTTCTCCATGATTTGAATTCATATTAAAAAATATTGTACAAGGTCAAAATTCAGATGTATTTCCATTTACCAGGAAATAGTCTATTTATGTCATTATGGTTTTCAGACAGCACAATGAATTGGTTTTTTTGTGCTACCTTTCAGACCGTTTTAAAATGGTGTCAATTGATAATATTTCAGGCACAAAAATCCAAATCACAAAGGGTGCTCCACAAAGTTTGATGCTTGGTCTGCTTTTGCGAGAGCAAAAAATCCTTGCCAGTTGACTCAAAAACTGAATAGACAAACGAACAACACTTGGCAAAGCTTGCATAGCGTCGAGAGAAGCCGTTGACGGTATTAATAGCAACGGAGAGCTTCTAAATGCAGCTTGACATGTTTTGGGATTTCATTTTCGCAGCTATAGTGTAACCAGTTCTTGCTTAACAGTCCCGATATATACGCAACCACGACCCAGGTTAACATTAACATTAGGTGATGGGATTATAGCAAATGTGACCAGCACTGGCAGGCATCATCACGAGCTTTGCAAGAAATTGCAGGGCTGCACCATTACCTTAAGCACAGTTTACCACACCTATCCCCGGCACTATCCCCGGCGGTGCGCGCAGGTAAGGAGATGGTGGACTACATCGCTATGTATCTGCGTGAGCTACGTAAGCGGCCCGTGAACCCCTCCGTGCGGCCCGGCTACCTGCGTCCCCTGCTGCCCCCTGGCCCCCCGCAGCAAGGAGAGCCCTGGGAGAGAATTTTTGAGGACGTGGAGCGGCTCATCATGCCTGGAGTAACGCACCCAGCCACAGAAACATGGATAAGACTTAGAAATAGAGGGAAATATTAGAATTGAGACCGATCACCACTGAACAGCATGGAGTTATGTGTTTGACCACATAGATACTATTAAAATTATTGCTATTAAATTCAAAACAGTTTTTATTTATATATATATCGGAGAGTCTTCCAGTGGGTTGTTTGGCTAATTATATTCACGAGTGGTGTGAGGGATGGAAACCAGAGGACCTGAAAACCCCCGCATATGAGCACGGGACACTCAAAGCCCTGCACAATTTGATTCAAGAATCCATAGCTGTTCAGCCATCTCCTGGCTGCCTTACAGCCCAATTATTCAAGGCCTGGTATTGCCAGTCAGTCTCTCATCTAAGTATTAACCAGTCTCTAATCTGCTTACTAAAGAGATTGGGCTCATGCAGTGTGATTTGGTGGTTTCCGCACCCTGCGTGCATTATTTGAGTTTGATAATGGCCATGCAGCAGATGTTGACGATTTAGCAGAAAATCGTTTAAAAAAAGGCACTGGTGGTCCACTCCTGTAATCCAGCACTGTGCAGGCGAGGGTTGGTGCATCGCACAAATGTTGCAAAACTCCCTTCCCGTGGCCGTCAAGGTGTCATACCCTGGCTTGCCAGAAGGCAGGTCACCAAGTGTGGACTCCACCTGTTCCATCTGTATGGGATAGAGTGGGTTTCCTGTTGGTGCTGTGGTTTTTTTCGACATGTAAAACACTCATTAATTGGCCCATAAAACCTTTCATTTACAGTATAGAGAACCACAGAGCTTGCGCAATTGTTGGTTTCGGCTCATCACGTGGCTGCCTTCCTGCTTGTCTGTGATTCCTCGTGCCTCTGAGTTGTTCTCTCTACGAGAGTTAGCGAATACTGTGCACGTTACAAGCTGAAATTGTTATTATTGATTATTTGTTGGATACTCTTTGGTTCTTTCGGTAGAGTCACGTAGTTAGAAATAAAATAAAACAAATCACGACGTTTCGATCGCAACACAAGCGGTCGTCATCAGGCAAAGGAGTCAGCCTCTAAAGGCAAACTGTTTATGAAACGTGATTTATTTTATTTCTAACTACGTGACTTTACCGAAAGAACCAAAGAGTATGGATTCCTGCAGTCACGGAAGCTTAAAATCAATATCTGTTGGATTTTGCATTTGACCACGTAGATTGCTGCATGAATGTAAGTGAATTGTGCCGTGTGCAGGTCGTACACTGGCAGAGCCCGCACATGCACGGGTACTACCCGGGGCTCAACTCGTACCCGTCACTCCTGGGTGACATGCTGGCGACTGGGATGAACGGCGTTGGGTTTACATGGGTAGGTGTACGGCTGGGAGACTTATCCATGCGTCCACCTCTCTGTGATGCTACAATTGATCACATGTTATGATTGAAGATATATTTATTTGTATGAATTGAACGCCTCCAGCGGCTGCAGGGGTCATATGAACCTCTTATATACAACATATTTAAATGCAAAATAACTGATTATCAAATACACACCTAATTTTCTGTATTGTGAACACAATAATGCATTGTTAAAAGCATAATGGATTCGTAAGGCATACAAATGTTGCATAAATGTGTTAATCGTTGTGCACGGGTACATCTACTCACTGGAGCCTGCTGTGATGGCTCACTTGATCAAAATTTCCAATTTGTTAAATGGTGGTGAGATGTGACTCTGACAGTGCCTTGATTCAGTCACTCAGTTGATGACACTAGGCCATATCGATCCCACCACAATACAAGCTTGGCCAAAAATCCAGCTTTCCAAAGAGTCAACTGGAGTAAGAGTTTACCGGAGGTAGTCAACGCGAAGATACATTTTATCAATGTCATGGTGGTTTATTTGACATTGGATGAGTCTTGTGTCGAAGAAATATGAATCTCTTACACACAGATAGGAAACGTTCACAAGGTTCACGTACAGAGCTCCGTGACTTCTCTCGTTGCTTCCACTGTTGAACTGCAGTAATGGTGCGTGTCGTGTCTATCGCCTCCTTAATTCGTTGATGTGGCAGAGCCCATAGGTACAAATGAGAACCGTAGACACTCCATTCCTTTCAGTCAGACATCTGGCATACACCGTCCAGCCGGCAGGTGTCAGGCAATAACTGCACGGTGAGTCGACAAAACGAGCAACGTTAGTGGGCGGTGTTGGGGTTGAGCGTCGTGTTTGTTGTTGTGGGGGATGCGTGACCTGGGTCAGGCGTCGAACCCGGCTAGCACGGAGCTGGAGATGGTGGTGACGGACTGGCTGGCGACCATGCTGTCCCTGCCCGACACCTTCCGGCACGACCACCCAGGCGGACGCGGTGGCGGAGTCATGCAGGTGCTTCATCTAAAACACCATCGTCGTCGTCATTCGAAAACGATTATCATAACAAACATAATGCTTCTCTGACTTATTCATTTTCAATCAAAGTAGTACAAATGTCCAAACTTGTACAAATGTGCAAGGGACTCGTGGTGATTTGCGCGCTCTAACACAAACCTAACAATATGGGTTCAATGCCTGGCCATGGTCACCAATGGCAATTAGACGAATTAATCTTTCTTACGTCGACTCAGCCTTGCACTACGTGATGAACAATGGAAATGGAGATATGAAGGTGGAGAGGTGCAGTGCTTGCACCACTCCCTCTTGTACTGTTCTGGGTTAGGTGCTCAAGATAATTGCACGTGTCCACAGTCTTCTTTGAGGCGACAGTGTCTGTGTGTCCCACAGACGGAGAAGTTCAATTCCTGCTCACGGCTAACTCCAGTGACGAATATCTGACCCGGTTCTGGGCCTAACCAAGGTCGACTGAGACTCAAGAGCTGCTTTTAAAGTTTATTTTGTTGTTCTTCCCCCGCACCTTCGATTATCACGGTTGGCAACGTACGGTGCGAAAGAAGTTCAACATACATACAAATGAGTACCTGATGCAGTGTGTAAACATTGCCACTGGGGAGGCGAGGTGCTGGCTGCCCACCTCCCTCGTGCACCGAGCCGGCCCTTCATAGGTGCTCGCTTAAAAGCACTTGCCCTAAAAGTCTACTAAGGCTATAAGGGGGATCTTTGCCTCTTTCTGTGTCCCACAGACCACGGTGAGCGAATCCAACTTGCTGGCGTTGCTGGCGGCACGGACGCGCGCTCTCGCCCGCCTGCGCGGGGATGCGCGCGTAGACGTGGGACAGGACGCGCTCCTCAACGCGCGCCTCGTAGCATACACCTCCGACCAGGTGCGCACCTCTGCCCGGATAATAACTCGTCCTCTAACACGCACCGATAATTATCACCCAGGAGCACTGCGGTTGTGAAAATCAGATGGTGTGATCACAGATCGACATTGCGATCGTTATCAAGGGGAAAACTACCGTTGGTATTTTTTTGTCACATCAAGCTATATTGCCACACATGTTGAATAACATTGCTTAAATCTTGAATAAGTATTTCGAATGATGAATCAAATATTTTGGCGGCTCAACCGGAATAATGACAACAGGTTAATTTGATGAAGAGCTATGGCAAGCAAACTTACACAAATAAATTTTATTTTTGCTGGAAAATTATTATTTTACTGAGACATACCATCCGTCTTCAGGCTAGCTTGGCGTACACTTCCGACAAGATGGCCCCCAACGCGATCCACCCACAAATGTGAACATTGCTTACAAAACAAAATAAAAAAGATATCCCAAAGGGGTGAAGTGGTGGTGCAGTGATTAGTGCACTGCATTATGGACCCAACAAACAAAGTTTTTATATTCTTTGGGTCTTTCAGTAAAGTCACATAGAACAAAAAAACTACGACGTTTCGATCGGAACACAAGCAATCGTCATCAGGAGGAGAAAAGAGGGGAAAAGCTGCTGAGGCAGGCTGTTTTAAAGGTTTGAAATGGGTGTAGCCCAAAGTTCTTAAACGAAGTGGGCAGGGCTAGTGATGTCAAAGTGATACATTTGCATGTTAATGTAAGATCGAAGGGCTTCTTCCACGGCGAAGGCACGGAGGTGGCTATTGTAATGTGAGAGATTAGCATGTTAATGTAAGATCGCAGAGCCGCCGCCACGTCGAGGACGCGAGCGACGGTGGCTGTGTTAGTGTGAGACATTTAACCTGTTAATGTAAAATCAGAGGATCGAAAATACACACGTTTATTTCCCAGTGTCATTGACGAATGTGTTTAGTTTTTTATTGTGCGTTATGTAAAAATTACGTGTTTTGTAAATGTTTGTGCACATCCGCCAGGCTCACTCGTCGGTGCTGAAGGCGAGCCTCGTGTCTCTGGTGAGGCTGCGTTCGCTGCCCACGGACTTGGAGTTCTCGCTACGCGGGGAGACGCTCCGACGCGCCGTGGAGGAGGACCAAGCACAGGGCCTCGTCCCGTTCTTCGTGAGTCGCTTCACTCTTTGCACAAATAATTTGTGCGTAAGTTGAGGCTTCATTTATACCATGATACTACCAATTATTAAAAACATTATCAAACTGTTCACTTGTTTTCACAATGGGAGAAGGTTAAAGCTGGTAACCCCTAATTCTGTACAAAAATGTTCTACCTTCTACAATCTTCTACATGTCACGAAGTTATGAATAGTTTTGATGATTTTTCTCAGTTTCTTATTTTAAAATAAATTTTATTTTGGCATCGTTATTTCATTAAAATCTTTTACGAATCAGATTCATTATATGCAAAGTTATTTGTGTTAACATGTCACAGACGACCAAGTTATGGTTAATGTATCAGAGAGCCTTGGTGCCAGGTCCACCCTGAATATAAAACATCTATTTCTTTCTTTTTGCTTCGATATCTCTCTGCGAGTTTTTCTTTGTGCCTCTCAATGTGTATCCGGCTCTCTGTGTCTCGTCGTGTGTCTCTCTATTATTCTCTGTGCCCCTCTCTTCCTCCGCCTGCAACTTGTCAGTGTCCATTAGACATTTTCAATGCCTCTTTATGTCTTACGTCTTGGGTAGCCACTCAAATCACCCACCCCTAAGGTCTGGCCTGCTCGCACTGAATATTGAGGATTTCTATGCCAGTTTGTTTTCTTGGGTCGATCATCCGCTCATCTGTGTGCTGGTGGTGGCTGTTCTGACTGCTGTGCATCGTTCCCATGCTCTCTGTAGGTGTGTGCGACCCTTGGATCGACGGGCGTGTGCGCCTTTGACAACTTGTTCGAGTTGGGCCCTGTCTGTGAGACACCATCTTTGAAATGCACCGAATGCCAACACACCATCGTCACACAAATATTATGGACAGAGCGAGGAGACACAAAGAGTAGTTGCAAACACAAACAGTAGTTGCAGGCTCTTTAGTTGGCCTACTTTGGGTCCCATTCATGGTGGCCAGGAGACCTACATGGCAGTCCTACTACTTCTTGGCAGTACAGCAAGCATAATAATTAATCTGCCTGCCTAGAACTGAGTGTAAATTCCAACCATTGAATAATAAATAACAGAGACAATATTCTTGGTTCTTTTAGTAAAGTCACGTAGAAGGGAAATAATAAAATAATACAAATATAAAACAATTAAAATTATCACGACGTTTCGACTGCAACACAAACAATCATCATCAGGTGATGATGATTGCTTGACTTTACCGAAAGAACCAAGAATATGAATCCCTGCAGTCACGAAAGCTTTAAATCAAAACAGAGACAATGTGTACACAAGTTAAAGACATATTGATTTTTAGGAGAGGTGGGATTACACTTTGCAAGGGGGGATGCTGACTGGTGATTAATACTAACGACAGATTGGCAGTCCATGAGGGCTTCACACAGCATTGAATAAATAGCTCATGTTGATGTTGAAATAATCGAGGCAAGCTTTAGTGTTGACACAATTTCTTAGGCATTCTGATTTTGTTACTCGTAATACATATTCGTTGCGAAAGCCAAAAGGTTAAACAAATGTTTTACTCTTGTTCATGAATGTATGTATGTTGAACTTCTTTCGCACCGTCAACTGTGCTAAATAGAGGTGCGATGTAAAATACTTGTATTACTGCACAATACTTTCAACCAGTGCCGAATTCAGCTAGCGTGGGGCCTGTAGCATATGTTATAAAGGGGCCCTAAGGTAAAAAATACACGTAAATATTAAAAAAAAAATTCTTGCATAGTAAAGATATAGTTTTTTTTCATTTGCTATACAGCCACATCTTCTTCTTCCTAGCGTTGTTCCCGCTGTGGCGCAGGGTCCGCTTTTCGGCATTGTCTTCTCCATTTGGCTCGGTCCAGGGCATCTTCAGGGGATGCTTTGACCGTCTTCATGTCTTCCTTTATTCGATCCATCCATCGCTTCTTCGGACGTCCGCGTGGACGGCGGCCCTCTGGCTCAATACGCACGGCAGTCTTGGCCACTGATGACTCTTCACTTCGCATCACATGGCCGTACCACCGAAGCCTTGCCTCAAGCATCTTGTCCGCAATGGGGGCCACACCAAGTTGCTTCCGAACGTCTTCGTTCCTGACACGATCCCATCGAGTGAGCCCGAGGCTCCATCTGAGCATCCTCATCTCCATGGTGTGGAGAGCTTGTTCGTGTACAGTTGTGGCTGGCCAGCACTCGGATCCATAGAGTGCCACCCGTCGGACGATGGTCTTGTATATTTTTCCCTTCAGCCTATCCGGCATTTTCCGATCACAGAGGACTCCGGTGACTTTCCTCCATTTCATCCACGCCGCATTGACTCGTGACCTCACATCAGTCGTGATGCTACCATCTGAGCTGATGGTGGAGCCCAGGTACTTAAAGTCCGTCACTTTCTTCAGATCTTCTCCGTCAATGCTGATGGTGCCGTCGGTTTGGGGGCCACACTCCATATACTCCGTCTTTTTGATTTTGAATCTCATCCCGTTTTCGTCCAAACGTTCCTTCCACAGGCGCGTTTGTCTTTCCACTTCTCCTCTCTCTTCATCTGAGAGGAGGACGTCATCCGCGTAGAGAATTGACCATGGAAGGGGAGTGTGCAGGTCGGCAGTGATTTGCTATACAGCCACATAATACGATAAATTAAACAGCCAGTTGTTCATAAAGGTTGAAGGCTGTATCGTACTATAGAAATAGAGCAAGTGCAAAATCACTAAACCGGAATTTATATTTTATTTTGTTTTATACCTACGTGACTTTACCGAAAGAACGAAAGAGTATGGATTCCTGCAGTCTCGAAAGCTTCAAATCTAGACGGAATTTATAGCTTGAAAGCATTTAGCGTGGGGCCCTTGAAAGTGTGGGGCCTGTAGCATGCTACGAGTGTAGAAGAGTGAAATACGCGGTGTGCACAGTTAACCGAGGAAACTGAGGCCAAACAGGTGCGCATGTGCAACATGGGGTTTGCATGGACAAACCGCCAGTTGTTAAGGGGCGAAACAAGTGCAAACGGGGTCGACCAGTTGTGCATGTTGAGACCGGAGGTGTTTCCAGGGAGACGGGATATAAGGGTTGATTGATGGGCCAACAGGTGCCAGCCTGGTGAGAGCCTAAAGAGAAGCACGAGAGGTCTCGGATAATTAGCAGAGGGATGTAAGGGTGTGTGCGTGAGCAGAGAGAGGGTTGTTGCCGGGGACCAAGTGTGAAGACATCTCGCCTCTGCCGCTCCAGCCGTCAACAGGACCTCAACCCTCACGCCGTCGCCGGGCGGGTGTTAGCTGATCCCCCCGCCCGGGACAGATGGGTGAGTGGGTCTGAGGGAGCGTAGGTGAGAGCAGCGGTGGAGATGTAGAGTCGCTGTGTGCGAAGACGCTGTGTGTATTGTCACTGTGTGCGAAGACGCTGTGTGCGGAGATGCTGTGTGCGGAGTCGCTGTGTGCGAGGACGCTGTGTGCGGAGTTGCTGAGAGCAGAGCTGCTGAGTGCAGGATAATGGAGGTGAAAGGTAGATAAGAATAGGGAGAGCTTAAACATAAGTGACCGTATAGATAGTTATAGGAGTGCCTACAACTGGTTCAATAATAAGTGACTAAAGTGTAAGCAGGTGACTTGTTACAACGTGTTGGTCTGAGTAATTTCTGAAGACACTACATTTGGTGTTAGAAGTGCCAACGAACCCTCGCCGTCATGTCCAAGTCAGCGATGAAACATAAAAACCTACCTGTTGCGTCGTCCAACGACGACGCCGAGCAAGACGTCGTCCCTCCAACATCTCCAGTTGCTGGAGCTCCGAGCGCCCGCTCTGACGACGTGCTTCAGTCGGCTCCGGAGTGCATGGCGAGTCTAGCCCAGCCACCTCCTCTGCACAGCTGGCTGGACATCGGCGGTCACCTGGGGAGATTGCTGTCAGCCGCCGCTCATCTTTTTCAGAAGATGACTGCTGCGACTTCCACTGGACGCCAAGATGCACTTCCCGCCACTGTCATGACCGAGGCGACTGGAGCGCTGGGCCTTCGGGGGCTGCAGCCATGCTCCACTCAGCTGCCATTTCAGGCGATTGGCCCTCGCCGCAGCAGCAGCCGCCAGCTTCCAAGTTGGAAGTCGTTCCCAAGTTCCGACGGCTGCCGCCGGTGCGTCAGTTCACTGTTGCAGGAGGAGATTGGACGGCTTTTTGCCACCGATTCGAGGCCACCTACATCTCCTTGGGATGGACATCCCAGGAGGCGCTTCAAGCTCTTCCCACGGCCCTCGACGATGACTCGTTAGCCGCTTTTTTCGCTATCCCCGTGTCAGATAGAGCGACCCTCGCACGCGTCTACACCGAGATGGCCGCTATTTTTGATCCCCCGTCTAATGTTCGGAGAAGATTCAGGCTGCGGCAACGGTGTGAGAGCGAGATGCCGCTGGCCTATCACAGTGCACTCCTCGCCTTGAGGCACGCGGGTTTCCCTCGCATGTGTAGTGCTTGAGATACGCGTCACGTGCTGGGTTGGTATGCGCGCACGCGGCGGACAGTGAGGGCGAATGAGGACACAGGGCGCTGATTGGCTGGCCGTTGTTGTTCAAATTAAGGTGGCGTGATAGTTAAGGGGGCCGCAGGTGGCCGGGGGTAATTAAGGATGCAGGGCGTTGATTTGACGAGAGGGGCTGTTGTCTGAGATTGGCGCCGGCGTGTCTGGAAAAACAACACCACGTGGCACCGGGGGCTGGGGGCGAGTGGCGTCGCGGGGGATGACCTAATTAATTAGGGGTAATTGGTTCAGGGATAAAGTGAGGGATTGTGGAGTGAGACGGGAGTTGGTGCCTGGGCGCAGAGACAGACGGATGGAGAGATGGAGCAGCGGATAGAGTGAGTACAGCGTAGGGTAGTAGTAGATAGTGAGTACAGCATAGGGTAGCAGTGGAGAAGAGTGAGGATAGTGTAGGGTAGCAGCGGAGTAGCGCAAGCATCAGAGAGACGACGGAGAGTAGGAAGCGGCTGGGTGTGGAAGGAGAACGGAGTTGGTTACGACAGAGTGGGACGGCGGAGTTGATAAAGAGCAGCCGAGCTGGAGAGAGAGAAAGAGCGGGGAGGAGAGTCGACGGAGGAGCAGAGGGGAGCGAGCGAGGCCAGCGGAGCGCAGCGAGCGAGCGGAGGAACATTGAGCGGTGTTGACGGAGAGTTGTGGGTTGGGGTGAACGGAGGAACATTGAGCGGTGTTGACGGGAGAGATGTGGAACTATATACGTGAATAAAGAAATGAGGAAAGACAAGAAGCTGTCGTGTCGGTTCGAGCACTACACATGGACAGAGTCGCCTTGGATTCCCTCGCCTTGGAACGGCTTCTCTCCTTGGCTCGGGAGTTGGGGGTCACCTTCACGGTGGCAGAAGAAGACGACCTGACTTCTCTGCAGGTAGCCTGCGGTATCCAAGCGCATCTCAACCTTAAAGACTGGCCGGCGGTGGCGGCCGGCGCAATGGAGCCGGCCGTACATGAGCGGGCATGTGCCTCCTTCGCCTGGGAAATGGAGGCAAGGAGCGCTGGCCTGCGCCCATCAGCACAGGAATTGCGCCCCAGGCTGAGCCAGCCGCCTGGGCGTCCTTACCGTACCTGCTACAGGTACGGCTGCACGGGCCATATCGCCGTCGATTGCCGCCGCGGGACTGGAGGGTTCACGCAGCATCCATCCTCCTCCTCCCGCAATCCAAGGACCGGAGAGCCTAATGGCCATGGAAGGAGCATTGAGGACTCCTGCAGTGGACCATTCTTCACACCCGACCGAAACCTTCTCTACCCATGGGGACGGTCCTGCCACACACACACACTCGCTCGCAACGCGTCACTTTTCATTAATCGGACGGTTTGTTCATGCCATCACATTCCCTTGTTACTGTTTATGGTTGTTGTTCTTTGCTCTTTCACGGTCATTGCTTATGATTACGTTAGTTCATGGGTCGGTCACAACACATACGCGCGCGCTTGCATAGATATGACAGCCGGGGCGGCTGCGTTTTTATTTGTGGGGGTAGAGGAGTGAAAATACGCGGTGTGCACAGTTAACCGAGGGCAAATGAGGGCAAACAGGTGCGCTTGTGCAACATGGGGTTTGCACGGCCAAACTGCCAATTGTTAAGGGGCAAAGCAGGTGCAAACGGGGTCGACCAGTTGTGCACCTTGAGACTGGAGGTGTTGCCAGGGAGACGGGAGATAAGGGTTGATTGATGGGCCAACAGGTGCCAGCCTGGCGAGAGCCTAAAGAGACACACGAGAGGTCTCGGATAATTAGCAGAGGGATATAAGGGTGTGTACGTGAGCGGAGTGGGGGTTGTTGCCGGGGACCAAGTGTGAAGACATCTCACCTCTGCCGCTCCAGCCGTCAATGGGACCTCAACCTTCACGCCATCGCCGGGCGGGTGTTGGCTGATCCTCCTGCCCGGGAGAGACGGGTGAACGGGTCTGAGGGAGCGTAGGTGAGAGCAGCGGTGGAGATGTAGAGACGCTGTGTGCGGAGACGCTGTGTACGAAGAAGCTGTGTGCGAGGACATTGTGTGCGGAGTCGCTGAGAGCAGAGCTGCTGAGTGCAGGATAAGGGAGGTGAAATGTTGGGAGAGATTAAACATAAGTGACCGTATAGATAGTTATAGGAGTGCCAACAACTGGTGCAAGAATAGGTGAATAAAGTGTAAGCAGGTGACTTGTTACAACATGTCGGTGTGATTAATTTCTGAAGACACTACACTAGGATAATCCAGCACTGTTTTCAACAAATGGTGCTACACTATTACAATAGGAATCCAGACATCCACGTGTAATATGTGTAAACACCAACTTTTCCTCCACTTATGCTCCCGGCAGGCCGCCAGGAGGGGCTGTGGCTGCACGTGGACGCGGCGTATGCGGGCACTGCCTTCCTGTGCCCCGAGCTGCGCGACCCCCTGCACGGGATCGAAATAGCCGACTCGTTCGTGGTCAACCTGGGCAAGTGGATGATGGTCAACCTGGACTGCGCCGTCTTCTGGTGAGAAGAGACGTCAGTAACGGCTCGAAACCGGCGGCTTGAGCAGAATGCCAAACATTTGGAGGGGCGAGTCACGATTAAAGTGATGTTGTTATACCTGTTTACCATCAATATTATTCATAGCAAAGTTTGTTTTTGGGTTAGATTACGTAAATATAAATGTGTCGTTAACCCACCACCACCCGACACAGCCAACAAGTAAGGTTTGTCAGATGAACAAAACGTGCCAATTAGTTATTATTTCAGCACACCGGTGTGTTGGAGAGTAAACCCCCACTCATCCCCGTCTCGACTCACTAGCCTCTTTCCGTGCCCTCAACTGGTTACCCATCGCCAGTAGGGTAATATACAAAATCGCCTGCCTCTGATACAATGCCTTCACATCTGCCTGCCCGCCGTACCTTTCTTCATTATTGACAACTTGCAGCTCAGCACACGGCAGATGCCTGCCAAGCGCGACTCACGACCTCCTCTTGATACCAAGATCCAGTTGGTTATGTCTATGCGCCACTTCTCGGTGGCAGCCCCAACAGTCTGGAACGCTATCCCTCTGCACATTCGCAGCATCACCTCAATCGCCTCCTTCAAGAGAGACTTAAAAACTCACCTCTATAACCATGCTTTCGACCGACTCTGAGCTTGGCTCCGCGCCTCTGAGTTGCGGCCCTTACGTCCGCAAATTTGTGCGTGTTATAAATTTCATTATTATTAACATTTACAATTTGAGTATAACGTTTCGCTGGTGATTACAACCAGCGTCATCAGGCGATTTATCAAAATTGTGAAGAAGTCTTCCTGTTCCCTGTCTTGTTATACCAGTGCCTGCGCGGAATCCACTCTGTTTAATGATGGAGCCAAATTCGTGCACGTCTTCATTTATTTGGGCTTCAAGTAGAAACCCACTTCGTTTTTCAATCCACTGCTGGATGGCCTCCCCACACGGCGTCGGTTATGGAGGTTGTTTGACCATTCTTCATCATGTTGTACAGTGTGTTGTTGTTAGCTGTGGTCAGTTGTACCCAGCAGAATCAGAATCTTTATTTAGACTGGAGGAATCTGATGAGCCAAAAAGATGTCCAGTAAGGGCAGGTCAGTAGAATGCGCAAACGATTGTGCCACCCCTGCCCTTGCACTACCTTTAACTTTCTGGTGCCAGGTTGTACAATTATTTGCTGTATGCATGTAACGATGCACCAGTTCATGATGCACCAATCAAATCGTTTATGTAGTAATCTGGTGAGGTTTATTCAAACCATATATTAATAATGTCACTTTTAGGATAAAACTGTGATAAAGTGATACAACAGTGAAACTTCAAATACGTGACGGTAAAAACGGGACAAAACATAATCTCTTCTTGAGTCAAATCACGACTGAATAATAATTCATTGCATCCCTGTGAGGATGAATTATTCGATGCCCAACTGCCGCGCCCTCACCGCACGCTAAGAGCCCGACTCACTGTGCCAGGGTGGCGGACAAGCGGAGTCTGCAAAGCACGTTCTGCGTGGAGCCACACTACTTACAGCATGAGCACTCTGGTTCGGTCACCGACTTCATGGTAAGTGGATTCTGTCCACCCCCAATTTATATATATTTTTTTCAATTCGTTTAATTTAAACTAATTGTCTTCATTTTATTAAGCGATAATCCCAGTGCATTTCAGATAAGTTTCAAGTGGATATTGGTTAACCAGGTGAAAACTCCTGACGTCTTGTGCAGCACTGGCAGATCCCGCTGACTGTGCGTTTCCGCTCGCTCAAGCTGTGGTTTGTTATTCGCTCGTTCGGGCTGGACGGCCTGCAGGAGCACGTGCGCAGGGTGAGGGCCTCGTGTGACACTCGGTGGCAATGCCGAACGTGTAAAAACCTCACCGCAGCCATTCATTAATCGATGAGTAAACGAACGCATAATATACAGGCGTTTAAAATTGTGTGTTTCTGTGTGCATTTTTATTACAAACGCAATGTTAAAATATTGCACGTGGTACATATCACTTTGTATATGTAGTGGGTTCTTCAGACGCCGTAGACCAGGGGTCGGCAACCTACGGCTCCGGAGCCGCATGCGGCTCTTTACGGGCTGCTTCTTGACGATATGTACGTATGTACAGTATGTACTCAGATGCATTGCGGCTCTTGAAATACCGAATTTTGTACCGAATTGGAAAGAAATGGCTCTTCTTGTTATTTTGGTTGCCGACCCCTGCCGTAGACGGATAGTTGAGGCAACACGTATGCATTATAACACCAACTTAACACAACACAACACCTTCTAAGAGGAAGGTAACGGCCCTTCCACCCGCTAGCTAAGGATATACACTTCCCCACGGAACTCGCCCTATTCCTTAGCTAGGGTCTTGGGCTAGTCTGACCTGACCGCGCCAAGGTGCAGGTCTCGACCACTGGTTACACGCCCCGGCCCTGACAAGGACTGCGGGCTCCGAGGCTCCAGGGTTACACCACTGGCTCAGTCTGCCCGGCCCTGACAAGGACTGCGGGTCAGACGAATCCAGGGTCCTAGGCTAGCCGACCTTCACTTGTTCTGATGGAAATCAATTTATAACATTTTTGACATGCGTATTTCTGGATTTTGTTGTTATTCTGTCTCTCACTGTCCAAATAGACTTACCATTAAAATTATAGACTGATAATTTATTTGTCAGTGGGCAAACGTACAAAATCAGCAGGGGATCAAATATTTGTTTCCCTTACTGTACATCTCCCCACCGAGGGGCGGGGTTCTATGGGATCCCAGGACATCCCGCAGCCTCCACCCGTTGGGAGGGGCGCGGGGGATCTAAACACCCCACAGCCCCCTCCCCTCGGGAGGGGCCCCAGGGGATCCCAGGACACCCCACAGCCCCCCCTGCCCTGGGCTAGGGATATCGTGATTGCCCCCTACTGGTAAGCAGTGGGTGCTAGCCGGAGATGGTGTACGTTCATCCAATAACACCATTACACATACACCGGTGGAATATTATTAAAATACTAGCCTTTTGCACGTCCAAGGACGGGTGTATTGCAGTAAATCTGAAACTTGCAAGCAAAAAGCAGACCGCTACGTGATATTCATTGACATTAATGCGTGTGCAATTTGTAAGGGCGCGGTGACACAGACCAATTTCGTTTTAAGGTTATAATCCCTTGTTCATCATGACGTCCTTTTTACTTTTGTAATAAGCGTCTCCGACACGGGTTAAACTTCAGTTGTATTTATTCTTAAGTTGCAGTACAGCACGTGTCTCCCTTGTTCCTTCGCGGCCTGCTTCTTTCTTGCTCTCGGGACGCTCTGCTGGTGGAGCCCGCCACGTGGCTGATGGTGGGAGCGCAGGCGGTGACGACAATCAGACCCAGGCTCTTCACAGAAACGACCCCGAGTCCTCTGCTCCTTCTGCTTATATCCCTCTCGGCGGGGCTAAATCTCGCCTCTAGCCACGCCCCTATCAGAACCATCTAGAGGGCTCTCGAGGCTTCCCGCTAGCTCCGCCCATTTACCTTTCACCCAGATGGGATCCCCCTTACTGATTGGATGTGAGACAACATGGCACATGTGTAATAAAGGACTCTCAGCCGATGTTGTTCTCCGTGTCCTTTATTGGGATCTTGCTCGCACCCCGCGATGTCTCCGCTCCGACCCCCACCTTCTCCGCCTCGTGCCTCCGCACGTCGTCTGAGTCCTCCGCTCCCGCTCTCTCTCTCTGCAGCCACCCCGCTGCTCGTGTGCTCCGCACACTCCGCAGCCCCCTTGCTGCTCCGTGTGCTCCCCGCGCACCCAGCAGCCACCCTGCTGCTCCGTGTGCTCCCGCACACTCTGCAGACACCCCCGCTGCTCCACGAACACCGCTGGCCGACGGTGCCGTGACTCCTGCCTCGTGGCAATCACGCCACTCCTCGCCAGCACTCCGCGTGGCCTCTCCCTTCTCTATTCTGTCTTTACTCCCGATCCCCTTCCGGTTCTCCCCCTATATCCTCCCCCTCACGTGACCCTGACTCCTCGTCCGCACGTGACCCTGACTCCGCCCACACTCACGTGACCCTGTCCTTGCTCGCATTACATGACCCCCCCCGTGTAGAAAAACCCAGCCGTCCCCGGCTGCAACAGAGCAAAATAATGCGAGCAAAAGTCCAGCAACAGGCCTAACAAGACAACGGAGATTATAACAACAACAACACAACAACAATAAATAGCACAATTAACGAAAGGAAAGGGACTTGGAACGCGTGCGGGTCGCCGGCCCGTCCTGCACGGGGGGCGGCCCCCGCATAGACCGTGACCGCGACAGGATTTTAGGAGCGGCGGGATCGGAACCGCCCACCGTTGTTGGAGTCCCGCCAATGTCAGAGTCCCGTACCCCCGGGAGACCCAGCGCCGGGGTCTCCAGCAAATGCGTCCGCGGCGGGGTTGGAGGGGCGGCGGGGCCAAGTGTCCCCGTCGCCATGGTAGGCCCACCCGGAGCAGAACTCACTGTCTCCGTCCGTGTCACGGCTGGTCCGTCTGTAGAAGGCACGACAGGCGCGCTTGCAGGTTGAACAGGCAAAGTCAGTGGCGCGTCGGACGCAACAGACATCGGCAAGGCAACTTTAGGAGATGACGCATCCGGCCGTGGGGCCACGTAGGGTTTAAATCGAGATGTGTGTACGTACCAGCGCCGCGAACCGAAACGAACACGCGCGGACTGCGGACTAGGCACCTCGATAAGCACAACCGGCCCTTGCCATGGTTTGTGCAACTTAGGGGATGTCTCCACCCGCACCTGCGGGCAGTGCAGCCAGGCCATGTCCCCCACTCGCCAGGGGGATTCCCCATCCGAGCGCCGAGCACAACGTTCGTTCCGGGCCTGGGTCTTAGCCGTAAACACTCTTTGGCCCCCTCCCGTGCCTCCGACACGCGACGAACGGCGTCCCGAATGTACTCCGGAAGAGGCTTAACAGGACCCTTCGCCCCCGTACCCAGCTGCACGTCCATCGGCGGCACATTCTCACGGCTGTACATTAAAAAAAAAGGTGAGTACCCCGTCGACGCATGAGGCGTCATTCTGTATGCAGAGAGCACCCCAGGGATGTGCAAATCCCAATCAGCCTGCTTTTCGCTAACCGTGTGACAGAGCATAGCCGACAGGGTCCGATTAAGCCGTTCTACCATGCCATCCATTTGAGGGTGGTAGGGAGACGTTCGAACTTTCTTGGTCCCCAGTGCAGCACACACCTCAGCCAATAATTTAGAAGAAAAATTTCGCCCTTGGTCTGTGAGCAACCTTTCCGGCGCCCCTTTGTTCATTACGTATCCGAACAGGAACGCGTCCGTGATAGACGCCGCCGACTGGTCGGGCAAGGGCCAAGCCATAGCCCAGCGGGAAAGATATTCCACCCCGACCAGCAAAAATTTATTCCCCCGAGCAGACGGCGGGAAAGGCCCCAAAATATCCAACGCCACCAACTCGTTAATCCGTGACACCTGTATGGACTGCACTGGTGGAACACATGGGTGTTTAGGCGGCTTCCTCCGGGCACAGTCGGGACACGCCCGAATGTGCCCGACGACATCGGTCGTCATGCCGTGCCAGAAGTAGTCCCGCTGCATTGTTAACAAGGTTTTCTGCACCCCGAGATGTAACAACGTCTCAGAGTGCAGAGTCCGAACCAACTCGTACCGTAACGATGACGGCACCACCAGGCGCCAGCGATCGTGCAACCCTTCTCTCCACATTAGCAACCCATCCCGGAGAGCGGCTCCCGGCGTCCCACTGGACAGCGGGCCCCCCGTCCCCTTTGCAGCCCGACTCCGCATGGCTCCCAGCGACTCATCGAGCAATTGCTCGCGAAGCCATACTGAACGTGGCAGGTTCAAAACGCCATCAGCCGGTCCCGGACACACGGGATCCTCGGCCACCTCAACTGGTACCGGGCATACGGGAATCTCGGGAACCCCAACCGGTCCCGGGCAAACGGGAGTCTCGGGCACTTCTACAGCGGACACAACAGGCAGAGGGGGTTGCTGAACCCAGGTACATCTGTTCGTGCCCGAAGCGCAAGCGCAAGGGGACCCCTGCGGCAATCTGGAGAGTGCGTCCGCGTTCGCGTGACGCGTGCCCTTCCGATATTGAATATCGAACGAAAATTCCTGCAGAGTCTCCAACCATCGTGCCAATTGGCCAGATGGTTGGTCGACCTGCAGGGCATATTGCAAATCCGCATGGTCCGTGCGCACAATAAACGTACGGCCGTACAAATATGGCCGATATTGGCGAAGAAAATGTACAATGGCCAAAAGTTTGCGGCGAGTAACGCAGTAACGGGTCTCCGCAGGAGACAACACGCGACTACCGTACGCAACCACGCGTTCGACGCCGTTCTTAGACTGGGAAAGAACAGCCCCAATCCCGGTGTCACCAGCGTCAGTATCCAGAATAAAAGGTCGAGTGAAATCTGGATAGTCCAACGTCGGTGCCGACGCCAAACGATCGTGCAGGCCCTGAAACGCCGCCTCTTCCGTTGGTCCCCAACTGAATCTCCGGCCTTTAGACGTAAGGAGGTGCAATGGCCTCGCGATCGTGGCAAAGTTAGGAACGAACCGGCGGTAGTATGAAGCGAACCCAACGAACCGACGCACGTCGCCCACTGGACGCACGCCGTCTTCTCCGGGTCAGTGGCGACCCCGTCGGAACTAACAATGTGGCCCAAATAGCGCACGGATCGTTGTAAGAGGTGACACTTTTTGGGCTTAAATTTCAAATTGGCCGAACGCATTCTGGCAAACACCGTGTCCAACCTCCGCAAATGTGCCTCAAACGTGCGGCTGAAAACGATAACATCGTCTAA